TCGTTTTCACAATCGCTACCAGAAGTCCACATTATTTTTTTTCATTTTACCGCAGGTATTTTATGCCTTCTTTTAACCTTTTAGTCGTTCTTTTTCGCCATCCATATTTCCGGGTGCCTCTATCACGTGACTTGATCTTCTGATGTATTCTCTTTTTACACGAGCCTATGAATCACTCCTCTCAGTTGTGAAAACTGTCAACTCAGCTATCGAATGCAGCATTCATCTTCAATTATCGTTGAGCATAATCTAACATTTCTAGCAAGACCTGAAAATTCCAAAGACATCTAAGGTTATTTTGAAAAAATTGCTGCCTAACAGAAGCAAAATGGTCTCTTTTGCTATTTATTTGCTTATTACGTCGAGAATATATGCATATTTTTTTACTAATGGTCACTTGATTTTGGTTATGGTTTTTAACACTTTTAAGACTAGAAAAAGAGCAAAATGACCTCCTACAACTTGACTGTCCCTTCGGCAATCGCTTCCAGAGTCATCCGTTGTCCCGGAGCGTCAAATGTCTGGTCACATCGGGCGTTGCCACGCGCATGAGCAACTTAAATGTGCAACAGGCCGTGCCCCCCTCTTTCTCGCCACCCTATCCTGTTCACACGCCATCCGTCAGCACCGGCATGGCCGTCGTCAGCACCAGCCTCAGCGCCGGTATCTTGGGCTGTTTATCCTCCTCTTCTGCTGCTTCCTCTTCACCGTCCTCGTCTTCAGCCAGTTCACCTTTCACTGCCTTGGCAACCAATCTTCCAGCTTCCGGACCATCCGCTTTTCACGGTTATGTTCTTCCACGGCCTGGCCAGTTGGCCGGCCAATCGAGCAGCAGACCATCGGAACCGGACGAGGTCTGCATGGCAACTGGCTCGGCTGGCAACGGCGATGAGGCTGGCGGCGGTCAGCTCACCTTGCGCAGCAGTCCGCTTGCTGCGGGAAAGTTTGTCGCCTGCATTGGGCAGACACATTCGCAGACAGCGCTGCCTCGTTCCGGCGGTCAGACCGCCTCAGAAGCGGCCGAGGAGGCTGGCGACACCTTCTTCACGCACTCGAACGCGATGGGTCATTTGCATCATTCGAACTCGGCTAACCGGTCGGCCGGTGTCAGGGAGACGGTGGGAGTTTCGCGCCTCGGTGTGCAGGAGCTCTTCAATGCCACCGGTGATGATACCGAAGTGGCAGGCTATGAGACGGCCGGATACCGACTGGGCTGCAACTCGGGCCCTGCCAGAGCCTCGAACGACAATCAGAAGTCTCAGTCTTCGCTGGTCCCGACACCGGCTACCGCCCAATACCTCTGTCAGCAACAGGCACACTGTCCGTCACAGCATTCGTCCATTATGCTTGTCAACAATCAATCGTCTTTTCCACAACCAGCCACCGGTCGGAAACCGACTGCTCCATCGTCTCCGCAACGTGGCGACCCGGCGGCTCGACGATTGGCATCTGGCTCCGTTGGCTTGCTTTCCGTTCAACCTCACCAAACACACCATCATCATCATCATCATCAACAACAACAACAACAACAACAACAACAACATCCAAACTGTCAAC